TACTTCTTTTTCATACGCATAAAAACATTTTTGCGTCTTGCATATTTATTCTTATTTCATTTAATTTGTGCAATTAAATATCTTGTAAATAATTCAATATTGATGTAATAGTCTAGGTTTAAATTCTTTGTCAAAAATCCCCATTTGAGCATTTGTACCCCCTTTCCCATATATTGTGTTGTAATAGCTTAGTAAATTTATTTTTCGCACTTTATTGCTTTCGAATTATACCATGTTAGAATTAGGGTTTGTACGCGAATCAAAAACAACAAAAATAGTTTGACCTAATTTCAAGATAAACAAGCATGAAAATGGACAACACAAATCACACTTGCACCCCTAGGGTATTCCACTTGTTGCCTTCAATAAATGGGCCATATTGCATGTTAGGTCTCTTTGGGCAAAACAAACAATCAAATGACCATAGTCCCTCGATGACGCTTTCAAAAAGTTGCCTAAACAAATGATCAAGTCCCTTAAAGAAAATTGCCCAAAGATACTTGGCACCATTGCAATTATGGTCTAAACGATGACCCGCGCCCGTCCCTTTCACATCCTAACACAATATTGTCCACCAAATACAATGGTGGAACAAACTTGTTAAAAGGGTTAAAACATAGCAATAATCTTTGAGAAATTTAGGAGTAGATAACCTCTTAGTTACTTGAATCAAACTTGCAAAAAACAAAACACTTGCCTATTTTCTAAAACCACACATCACTACACTTTCAAAACAACTTTCAAAAACAAATGAAAACCTTTTCAAAAGACATACACCTTTGTATACATCCCAACATGGATCATTACAAAGGTTGCCACCACATTGGCTTCTTTTCAAAACATTTTCAAACCCACACACACAAGAGTACCATTTCAAATAATTGAAACAAAAGGCAAGTTGATCTAAGAAAGTAACTAAGAGCCCATGGATAACCATGGATAGAAAGGGTGCTAATACCTTCCCTTTCTATAATCTACTCCCTGAACCCAAGAAAACATCTCAAAGGTTTTTGCTGTGCTTTTTAAACCTTTCCTTAGGATAAAATAAAAAGTCGGTGGCGACTCTTGATCAACTGAAACATTTTCGAAAACAAACGCAAAACCACAGTCAGTTCTCCCACCGTGTCACACCGACAAAGCTCCGTCACAGCTCCAGATGGCATCTATAAGCCCATCCCCCCATCCATCACTTCCAAATGGCATCTATAAGCCCATTCCCCTACATCACATTGCTGATACTACACCATGCGAGTGCAAATTTCTGGACACTTTAGTGTTTAATCATCTTCCACCTTTGGATCACGAAAGGCACGCAAGCCAATCTACATCCTCAGGTTTAAGAAGATTGAACAGGGGCAACTGTTGTACCCCAAAATTTGCCCTCCCATATTTCTCAAAACATTTCAAGAAAAATTCAAAAGTCCAACCCGGCGCATCATATTCAAGTGTTCTTTCGCCAAGATATCTCTGATAACATATTCTCAAATTCAGGTTCGGCTCAAGAGTCAATTCTTTAAAGAAGGTATCCGAATGTGTGAGTTTTCTCGAAGAAATATGGTGAAAAAGTGTGCTGAAAGTGCAGTTTTTACGCGCTAAAAAATTCATAACTTGAACATCGTGGCTCGTATTGAACCCGTTCCGGTGGCCAAAATTCCGTCTTGACATTATCTACGTTTTCATCTCTCACGGCTAGAAGCCAATTTCGATCAGAAGGTCTTCAAAAATGTGGATTTATCAAGTATTTTCGTACAGAAAATTTGTGACAGAAGTTTATTTGCGTCATGTTCAGAAAATCATAACTTGGTCGATTTTCATCGTATCGAGCTGGTTCCGGCGCCAAAATTTCACAAATTGAGTTGGCTACATTTTCATAGAAGGTATTGAGTTCAAACGGTATTCAAAAGGCCTTCGTGTTTTGCTCAGAGTGCGTGACACGCTGAAAATCCTAAATGCTGAATATTATTTCATCTGGGCCGAAACTTCGAAAATTCATAACTCGGTCAATTTTTATCGGATTAGGCTCATATTTTTACACAAGGTCTCTGACTCATAGATCTACAACTTTGCTTCAAAAGTCGAGATTGGATTATGCTCCGATCAATACCAGTTTTTTTATTGAAGAACGTGTCAGAGTCGACACTGGAGCCCAAAATAAGTTTGTCTGAGCTGAAACTTCAAAAATTCATAACTAATTCACCGTTTATCCGATTGAGCCGATTTTCGGACAGGAGTTAGTTATCGATGTCGGCTACATTTTGTCTTCACATTTCAACTTCAAAAATTGCACTTAAGTCTCTGCGATTTAGCCTGGAAGTGAATATTGGAGGCCTAATTGCACATTCAAAGCCCATTTTCTTTACACTAATTTCCATTATATAATCACCTTCTTTTCACACAAAGGAGGGAGGAGAAAAAAGAGAAAAAAAAACCTTGCCACAACACTGTTAGAATATCAAATTCTTTCAAGAACCCTAAAACCTTGAAATTCTTATTACAAATCCCTCTCTCACTACAAACAAGCCATCACAGTTACAAACCAACACCTCACTACTTCTTCAGTAAGGGTAAGGCTGGCTTGATCTCCATGATCCAAAAGGCATAAAAGCATTCACATCACTAATTTTCCAGTAAGGGTAAGATTGATTTGATCTCCATGATCAAAAGGGTATAATTATTCATACATGCCATATTGTGCCTAAACATTAAATTTCTTCATATATTGGCTTTATTTGCATTTTATGATTTTATTTAATGTGTTCATGAGATTCAACACTGCAGATTTAGACAGGATCCCCATGCAGGTTCATTAAGGAACGTTGAGGCCAAAACACAAATGGCCAAAAGCCAAAAGCCAAATGGCCAAAAAGAACAACTTATGCATGACACCGATACATGGCGAGACAGACATCCTGAGAAGATTAAGGAACGTTGAGGCCAGAACACAAATGGCCAACGGCCAGAACACAAATGGCCAACAGCCAGAACACAAATGGCCATGAAACCCAATCCAATGGCCAAAGAATGCAGACCACGGTACTCAGGAGTCAATGAACACGCGCGTGATGCCAGAAAGTCAAACAAGGCTTTTTGTCTAATGGGCCAAATTGCTTCCAAAAAACCTCCCTTTGGGTCTGAATACCTCCCATGGTTTGCATTGTTTTTGATTTCTATTTGATTTTCTTTTAATTCTTTTAATGTTTTAATTATTTCTTTTAATTCCATCAAATAATTTTCATAATAAAAATAAAATACAGAAAAATCAAAAAAATGTTTATTGTTATTAATATTAATTTCACCATTATTTTTGTAAATAAACTTTAAACAATTAATTAGATTAATTTAGGTTTCAAAACTTTAATATTTTTCTTAACAAATAAAAATATGTAGAAATTAGGGTTTTTAACTTTTTATCACTTTTCTTAATAAATAACTTTTTCTTCTTATTATTACTAATTACTAATTTATTTTGTAAATAAACATATACATAAATATTTTAGTAAATTAGGTTAAACTTTAATATTTTTCTTTAATAATTAAAAATAACTTAGAATTAGGGTTTCTTTTAATTTTAATTTTAATTTTCTTATTCCATTAAATACCAAAAACATAAAAAATATTTCTTTTCTTTTAATTAAATAATTCATTAACCTTTCATTCAATTTAATTTCAAAAGGGTCCAACGCCCTCGAACGTTCAATTTTTATTTCGTTTCGCATGTTATTTTATTTTCCTTTGTGAATATTATGTAATTGCTCAAGCCTTGTAATAGTAATTAGGAATTTATTTACTTTCCGCATTTTTTATTCAAAATGGGTCTTTGTTAATTTGGCGATGTATAGACCCGCGCCTTGTAATAGCGTAGAATTTTACTTTCCGCACTTTAATTTCCGCACTTTTAAATTGCTAACTTGCATAAAAGAATGAATGACTAATTAAAAAAAAAGCGTAGATCACCATGATACATGTACAAGATAAATGCTAAACTGAAAATAACATACAAATTCACACACCACTCTTAGGGTACGCCTCACTGTTGCCTTGCCTTCGAAACGTGGTCGTCGAGTATAGGACGTTTTAGTAAGTCCTTATGTCCATGACATGATCCAGTTGCCTCGAAACAGTTGCCTCAGAATTAAAAAGGATCAATGGCATAAGGGTAGCTTCTAAGGTGTCCTACTGTTGCTCTGGTGACCACACTGTCCCTACAAACGAATTGACCCGAACACCTCCAACGGTGGTGCTACCTACCTCTCAATGGTGGGATGGCACTACCTTAAGGACATTTACACAGCCTAATTCCTTAGGGTAGGTAGACGACTCATGGATACTTGCTCTCTTAAAAAACAAACGAAAATCTTTTCACACCGACACTTTTCAAAAAGCTTTCAAAACAATTTTTCAAACACTCTTGAGGACTGATACAAGAGTCGATCTGAAATCTTTAAACGAAACTTTTCAAACTCACTCACACTTTGAAAAGCAAACATCTTTTGAAAACACAATGAGCAAGTATCTAAGAGCCCATGGATAACCATGGATAGAAAGGGTGCTAACACCTTCCCTTTCTATAAATCTACCTCCCGAGCCGAGAAACTATCTCATAAGGAATTTTGATGTGCTTTTGTCCTGTCCATGTTGGAGAAAATAAAAGACGGTGGCGACTCTTGCTTCCGCGACATTTCGCGAACCAGCGTTAAACAGTCAGTTCCAAATCCACCGATCACACACAGGGTATATGTTTCTATACAAACTACTTTTCAGTTTGGATATCCAAAAGTTTCACAAATGAAGCAATTTTAAAAGAACCCAAGCAGCAACCCCATTGGATAAATTTAAGGCGAACACTCTTGTACCCTTAAATTTAGTTGACTTTGAATCATTCATAGCCTCTGAGATGCCGAGAGACACAGAAGACATACATGTAGAAGGGGTTGATGATGTACATGTAGGATGCGCTAAACATACTGCTGAAGTCACATAATATATAGTATAACATAAAACTAACTTACTTCAAGGTAATTGACATCGTCTTCCGTACGCGTGCAAACAACAACAGAATCAGTTGGATTAATAATCATGTCTTCAACATCTTCAGAATCATACTCTTCCTAAACAACATATAAATGATACAGAAATCAGTAAAAAAATCAAATTAACCTAAGAATACATTAAAGTGTTTGAATTTATCTCACATTCTTATCTTTGATATATGGATCTAATTCATTACTCTGATAATAAAGATCACCCGTCCCTGAACTGAACAACTCAAAACCTAACATCAATAGAAAAATCAAACATAATTAATTACGAATCCTGACACTACCACGACAACACCGATAATAATTTAAAAAATGAATAAATTAATTGTAATAACAACTGACACAGACACGCTTCTTTTCAAAGGTGTCGGTGCTATATTAAAAAGACACCTTTATCATCTTCATCAGCATTGGTTTCCATGTTAAGCTCTTGCAAGGCGAGGGTAATATCTCCATTATTTTCCTTGGATGGTTTACCAATTGCATCATCTACTGTTAAACATGTGCAACTTCATCGTCTTCTTCCATATCATTCTCTTCATCCACACTGCAATAATTTATACAAGAGAATGTTAATGTTAATGTTAATTATTGATTATTGATGGTGATTGGTTAGTGAAAAGGAACAAACTCACGCGTGTTTGAGATGAGTTCATCGATTTCCTCTTTGGAAGGGGGTTCGGCGAAAACAGGTTCCGCTTTGAAGACTCCTTTAGGAATCCATGAAATTGCGGCGATCATGGCTCTCTGATTCTACCGCAGAGTGAAAGGTAGCGGTGGGTGGCCGGCGGCGGAAAACAAACAGTGTAACCAACAACAAATGAAGCTAAACCCTTTTGATTAATTTTTAATTATTTATTTATCTCGTAAAAATAGTACATATTTATTTAGACACAATTGTTTAGTGAATATATAACAATATAACTCTACAGTATAACTCTGAAGCTGTTATATATTTCAACACAGGAGCTGTTATATGTTTTTAACTTCTGCATTGAGTAATAATTAAGTGAATGCGTAAGATAACATGAATGAAAATTATCAAATAAGTTTGAGAGCATGCTTTGTATATGGTAAAGTTTGTTGCATAAAAATGCATATATTTACCTGTAAACAGCCAAATTAATAGAAAACTAGTATAATGTTACAAACATAATCTAACTCCAAAAACTAGTAAAAGAAATTTAATTTTGTTTAAATTAATAGTATACATTCAGCAGGAATCCTCTTGATAAGAAGTAGCTCTGATAATTTCAATAGTTACGTTCAAACCCCACCAAGAATCAACAACATGGATTCAAATTTCAAAATATAACAAAATGAACAGTGCCAATACATGAAGAGAATAATACATAACAAAAAGAACAGTGCCAATACATTAAGACAATAATACAAGAACAATCACAACAATATAACAACATGGATTCAGATTTCAAAATATAACAACAAGAACAGTGCCAATAACAAAAATATACAGGCATTGCAGGTTCTAATAACATACATTAACAGTAACGAAATACAATTGAAGCTTACAGTATATTCACGAAATACAATCGAAGCTTACAGTATATTCACGAAATCGAAATCAAAGTTACAACAGTAGACAAAATCAGAGTCACAACAGTCAAAAAATTGAAGCTTCGTAGCATATCACAGTAGTAAAAATCAAAGTCCCAATAGTATATTCACGAAATTGAAATCGATGTTACAACAGTAGGCGAAATCAGAGTGACGAGAGTCACAAGATCGAAGCTTCATATGATATAACAGTAGGCAAAATCAAAGTCACAATAGTAACGAAATTGAAGCTTAATAGCATATGTTCACACTAACCTGGAACGAGAGGCGAGAGAGACGGAGCGAACAGCCGAACAGGAACAGGCGAAGCGAGTGAGAGAGACGATATATGCTTCGATTTTTAGTTGAAATGGATTAGCCGAACGAAGAGGACCGACGAATCGAACAGGAAGAATGATAGTAGTTGCGGTTTCACAGTTTCATTTTCAGGAAAAGCGATATACATACATATTGATAGTGATATTAGGTTATGAGGCAGTGAGTTGAGATATTAAGTTTACTTCGGCGTCTAGGGTCATGCCCGTGTTGGATGTTGGGCTGGGCTGAATACTTGAAATACATACTTTGTTTAATTTTTCTTATGAATTACATTATTTCTAATTAAATTGTAATTTTTTTATTTTTTTTGGGTTTGCGGGTTATCAATAGTCCATATGGGCTGATCTATATTTTTTTAGAGTTTTTTAGGATCAGATTAAAAAAAGTTCAGAAGTAAATAAGTTCAAAAAATGAACCTCAGATTCTAACTTTTTTTAAGTTTGATGGATCGATCTATAGATTTCGATCATTTTAACAGCTCTATAATTATTAGAGTATTTTTTATTATTTATCATATTTATTTTTTTATGTAACTAATGTAACCATATTTATTCATTTTCTCCTTTATGAATAAAAAGAACTATTCATAGATATTTTAATTTTAAGATTTTTTTAAATTTATTAATTTAAATAATTCCCTTATATTTTTTATATATATCATTTTTATTCTTATATTAATTTTAATGTCAATATCTTAAAAAATTCAACTATTTAATAAAAAAAATTATGTGTATGATTAAAAAAATATTAGTAATGACTTGTATTAGAGGATTTTTTTAATTATATAGTCATATTTCAAAAAATATGTAACCATATGTCCTCTTTTTCTCCTTTTATGCAACTACTTGTTACTATATTTATTATTATTCATTCATATACGACTTTTTTATCACTTTTAATATAAATAAATAAAAATTAAAACTACTTATTTCTACATTTGTTATAACATGAATGCATTTAAGTTTGTAACTTTGAAATATAAGAATTGAAATTAACATTTATAAAAATATATTAAAATTTAAAACAATAGGGGGAAATATATTTCATAAATCAAAATAGTTACATATCTACTTGGAACATAGATCAGAAAGAAAAGTTTCAAGTTTCTATTGGATCAAAAGATTTCAACTTAGAATTAATAAAATTGGTTGGCAAAACTATTGGAGCATGAGTTTGAGATTTTTTACAAACAAGTTAGTGTGTTGTTAAGAAAGGATGGGGAAGTTATTTTGGAAATATGGATGTTTGTAGTGTATACTAGCTTGATTATACTGATCTAGCAGCACGGTGCAGGCAAGTCCTAAAACATCCATATACTGTCATGTCTCTTGATGACATCTTTGCATGAAAATTTCTCAAATTGCATAGCATTCCAATATCCATTGTTGGTGATGTAGACCCCTCTTTTATGGTCAATTCGAGGCATAGGATTTCAGATACAGACAGGGATGAGGGTCTGCAACAATTAAAGAGGGCATTTGTTGCATGCTCAAGAGAGTTGATAAACATATGAGACAATCAACTATTCAAGTATGTGACTGGGTGTATTTGAAATAATCAATCTAACAGTTATTCTCAAGTTTTCCTCATTGTTGAAAATGTACCACAAAAATAATACAAGAAAATTCAAAACTATTATGTTAATCATTGTATAGCATTCTAGGGTAAAACATTAATCTTGACAAGTGAGTGGTGAATAAGAACTAAAAGGAACCATAAATTACTAATTTTTACTTAGGCAACATAAAGTAGGATACAAAATTTATGCTGTGAGATCATTAGGGTTTATGGTTTAGGGTTTAGGGTTTATGGTTTATGGTTTATGGTTTAGGGTTTATGGTTTAGGGTTTATGGTTTATGGTTTAGGGTTTAGGGTTTAGGGTTTATGGTTTAGGGTTTAGGGTTTATGGTTTAGGGTTTAGGGTTTATGGTTTAGGATTAAGGATTTAGGGTTTAGGGTTTATGGTTTATGGTTTATGGTTTATGGTTTATGGTTTATGGTTTATGGTTTATGGTTTATGGTTTATGGTTTAGGGTTTATGGTTTATGGTTTATGGTTTATGGTTTAGGGTTTATGGTTTAGGGTTTATGGTTTAGGGTTTATGGTTTATGGTTTAAGGTTTAGGGTTTAGGGTTTAGGGTTTAGGGTTTAGGGTTTAGGGTTTAGGGTTTATGGTTTATGGTTTATGGTTTATGGTTTATGGTTTATGGTTTATGGTTTAGGGTTTATGGTTTAGGGTTTATGGTTTAGGGTTTAGGGTTTAGGGTTTATGGTTTATGGTTTATGGTTTATGGTTTATGGTTTAGGGTTTATGGTTTAGGGTTTATGGTTTAGGGTTTAGGGTTTAGGGTTTAGGGTTTAGGGTTTATGGTTTAGGGTTTAGGGTTTAGGGTTTATGGTTTATGGTTTATGGTTTATGGTTTATGGTTTAGGGTTTATGGTTTATGGTTTATGGTTTAGGGTTTAGGGTTTAGGATTTAGGGTTTAGGGTTTATGGTTTATGGTTTATGGTTTATGGTTTAGGGTTTATGGTTTAGGGTTTATGGTTTAGGGTTTATGGTTTAGGGTTTATGGTTTAGGGTTTATGGTTTAGGGTTTAGGGTTTATGGTTTAGGGTTTAGGGTTTAGGGTTTAGGGTTTATGGTTTAGGGTTTAGGGTTTATGGTTTAGGGTTTATGGTTTAGGGTTTATGGTTTAGGGTTTAGGGTTTATGGTTTATGGTTTAGGGTTTAGGGTTTATGGTTTAGGGTTTAGGGTTTATGGTTTTTAGGGTTTAGGGTTTAGGGTTTAGGGTTTAGGGTTTAGGGTTTAGGGTTTAGGGTTTAGGGTTTAGGGTTTAGGGTGTATGGTTTAGGGTTTAGGGTTTATGGTTTATGGTTTATGGTTTATGGTTTATGGTTTAGGGTTTAGGGTTTAGGGTTTAGGGTTTAGGGTTTAGGGTTTATGGTTTAGGGTTTAGGGTTTAGGGTTTATGGTTTATGGTTTATGGTTTAGGGTTTAGGGTTTAGGGTTTTAGGGTTTAGGGTTTTAGGGTTTTAGGGTTTTAGGGTTTAGGGTTTAGGGTTTATGGTTTAGGGTTTAGGGTTTAGGGTTTAGGGTTTAGGGTTTTAGGGTTTTAGGGTTTAGGGTTTTAGGGTTTAGGGTTTAGGGTTTAGGGTTTATGGTTTAGGGTTTAGGGTTTAGGGTTTAGGGTTTATGGTTTATGGTTTATGGTTTAGGGTTTAGGGTTTAGGGTTTTAGGGTTTAGGGTTTTAGGGTTTTAGGGTTTTAGGGTTTAGGGTTTAGGGTTTATGGTTTAGGGTTTAGGGTTTAGGGTTTAGGGTTTAGGGTTTAGGGTTTTAGGGTTTAGGGTTTATGGTTTAGGGTTTATGGTTTAGGGTTTAGGGTTTAGGGTTTAGGGTTTAGGGTTTAGGGTTTTAGGGTTTAGGGTTTATGGTTTAGGGTTTATGGTTTAGGGTTTAGGGTTTAGGGTTTAGGGTTTATGGTTTATGGTTTATGGTTTAGGGTTTTAGGGTTTAGGGTTT